CTGGTTTGTTGGAACAATCTGGGTGAAGTCCCCAGATGAAGAGTACAGCAGTGGTATTCCCTGCTGGGATGTGAACCTGTAAGCCTGCAGTCAGGAGTCCAGAGCCTCTCAACACTGTAGCACACTCCTGTGACAGTTCTGTACTAGCACCACTGTTCTTCCTAATTTATATAGATGATCTAGATTCTGGAATAGTCAGTCTGGTTTGCAAGTGATGCCCAATTAGGAAGATTAGCAAACACTGCAAAAGCAGCAAATGAAATTCAGAACGATTTAAATTAAATTCAAGACTGAGCAAAAACCTGGCAGATGACATTTAAAGTAGTGCAAGTTATTGCTGCAAGCAGTAAAAACATAAATTATAAATACAAAATGGGAAACATTGATCTTAAAGAGATTACTTATCAAAAAGACAGGTGTTTATGTTGACACATCATTTACAACTTCCAGATACAATGAGAAAGCCATTAAAAAGGCAAACAATATGCTAGGTCATATATTAAAATCATGCAATTTAAATCAACGGATGGTATATTAAAAGAGTACAATAGACTACTGAGGCCTTGTTTAGAATACTGCTTCTCTGGACTCTGTGCAGAGAAGAGAGCATCCAGGTACATTCTGAGGCGTAATAGGATTAACCTACAGGCTGAAGGAACTGTACCTTTCAGTCTTTTATAGAGAAGAGTATGAGGAGATGTGATGCAATTTTGAAATCCACAAAAGCATTGACAAAGTCAACCCAACAGACCTCTTCTATGTGGAAGTGCCTTTAAAACTGAGAACAGAAGGCACTTCTTTACACAAAGGGCGGTGGGAGTATGAAACAAGCTGCCCAGCCATATTGTTGAAGCCGATACCCTGGTTTCCTTCAAGAAACATCAGGATGAGATCCTTGGAGCAGTCAGCATCTTAATTACTGTAACTACCCAGTTGCCAAATGGCTTTCTCTCTGTTTGTAACCTTTCTGATACTGTATACCTTTCTTAGGTTTCAGGCTACGTGCGTCTCAGATTACCCTCCAGCGTTTTATATAGGACTTGAGGTGATCAAGCTCAAGCACCGCGATTTGCATGCGCTGCAGCCACAGTGCGGGTTTGATTTGTTCGCATGGCCGATCCCAGTGAAACGCACCTCTGCTTCTGCTGGCTCAGCGGACTCCGAAGCCTGCCTTTCTGCGGGTGCGTTTAATCAGAGGGGCACCCGTTTCCTTTCGCGGGTGGTGTCCTGGCTCTCCGTGTGTCCAGGGGTCAGCGGAGATGGAGCACTTGTGGCTGTGCTTTTCGGGTGAGGACGGTCACTCTTCTGCAGGGGAGACTGTGGGGGCTCTGCTCCCTCTCGGTGGGCTGCACGGCCGCCGTCTGTCTGCTGGCTCGTTAGCACGCAGAGCCTGAGTGCTCTGTTTAGTAAATATTTAAGCGCCTTGTTCCTACATGCCCTCCTGCTGTTCATTACGTGGAATGTTTTATTCATAAATACCACCATACTCAAATTAGTCTTTAACCAATTCTGAGATATGGATGTAATTAAATTTTTTTTTTACGTCGCCCGCTGCACAGGAGCTGGTGACTAATTAACGATGGCCCTTTTCATTATTCATGAAGCAAGATGAATGTTTAAATGCCTTGACACCCATAAAAGCCAGCGATCTCTGTAGCGACGGGGGGAGGAGGGGTTGTCTGTAGGAGATATTAATGCCACCCCCTTCCCGCCAGGAAGGTCTTTCTGACAGTATTATTCTCGCTGCAGCGGAGCCAGTCTGTCTCACTCCAGTTTCATTCGATTTCAAAATGTGGCTATTTTTCCACTTCCTTCTCTTCACCCCATTTCTTCCCTTGCTTGGATATCTACATGGCTGCTGCCTTTCAGAAGGGAGGCCTGGTGAGCAGTATGTACCCCAGCCCTGGTCTTTGTCCAGATAACCGGACTGTTTTTTGAACCAGCTAGTGCCTAAAAATGAAATCTGGAAACAAGGGTTGGAAACACGGCACTGCTCTGTGTAGACCCAGAGACGGATAACGGCACACTCAGCTGATGTCCTGATGTGCCAGGTGATGTGCTAGGTGAGAGATCACTCGGCACATCACAGCCACTCTGAGTACATCGCCCCTCAGAGGTTTCCTCAGCCACTCACAAGCTGAGTTTTTTACTGACCCTTACAGCTGAGCTAACGAATCCAGGCCTAAGGGAGCCAGTCCAAGGCTGACCCTAATAAATGGCACCCCGTGCTGTGCCCTGCAGACTCTCTTCACTACCTGGGCTGACAGAGGATGAGCTCCAGTTGTGACGTCTCCCCATGGTGGAGCTCAGTACTTCAAAATTAAGTGGTGACCCAAAGGGAGTTCTGTTCAAGTACACAGCACTAATGGCTTCAATGCACCTGCAGAGGCACTTGTTTGTTGCAAAAGTCTAATTCTGTTTCACTGTGTGAACAGCTCTCTTTCAGTGCTTTGAACATGCACATAGCAAGCTTCTGCTGTCTGCTGCAGTAATCAAGGTTGTGGATTCATAAATGAGTAACCATACAGACAATTTTTGCTGTGCCCTTGAAAAGGTGCTTCACCCAGCCAAATAACCTGCCGTACAGATGGGTGCAAATGTGAGCTGCTTTGGATAACAGTGTCGGTAAGAAATTAGTGGTAAAACTAATGAATCTGTTGTAAATTCTGAGCCCAGCTGTGGCTGTCACTGCTGTCGTAAGAACACTTGCTCTTTCTATCAATCCATCCTCCTCTGAGCAAGAGTTCTGCAGAGTCACCAGAGCAGCCTGTAAATTTTCTGTGCTCTCCGGGACTGATGAGGTGCTGCGGTTAACTTTTATATGACAGATTAATAGAGCTTAATCCAAGCTGCACTGAAAACCGTGGCCTGAGACGATCAGTCTCGTTTCTTGGCTGCCCTGCAAGGCTGAAGGCAATACAGACCTGCCCAGTCGCTCTGCCACCCGAATTAATGAGATCTCTTCCTCCTAAAATAAAGCACATTGTAGCTGCTGTAAATATAACCACTAACTCTCCTTTTCCTTCTCCTTTCCCTGTGTTGCTCATCTCTCCTTGCTTAAGTGGGGTCGGGGGGAAGCTTCTTCTTTGCTTTATTTCACTCAAGAGTTGCCCAGTGGTTGGAACTATACAACTGATTGAATCCTGCATAGTGGAAATGTGTTGTGTCAGGAACAGAGATTGTGCGGTGGCAACAAAAATATGAATGCATGGCTGTCGCTGCGTGATCCTGCAGGATTCACAGTTAAATGGGTCAACCCTGACGGCCGGTTATGGAATGTGCACAAACACTTTGAATTAACCTGAATTTCCCAAATGAAACCTGAATGAAAATAGTACTGAGTGCTACTTGTTTGAGTCGCAGCTGAAGGTGATCGGCCATCCGGTCATCATCTGAAACGAATACTTTGTGGCAGGGTTTCTACAACGTCTGTGACCCTGTCTGTGTGAGACATTGGCACATCGCCCCCATCTCTCACTCCAAGACCTTCGCTTGTCCCAGGAGTCAGCCAACCGCAGCGGTTTTGGCAGAGCTGTCTTGTTTACAGGCTAGATCGCTGATGAGATTAAGTGATTAATTTCCCCTAAGTTTGCTCTGCCTAATGAGTCTGGCGAACACAGATGCGCAGAGGGTCGGGTACACATATTGTTCTTCATCAACCAAGCCGCGGTGTGCTGGAGCACTGGAAATGGGGAAACACGGTGCAGGTATTCTGTAATTCCAGGATCCTGGAAGTCGGGGAGGTGTTCCAAGGAAAGGCTGTTCAACTGAGGCGGTGGTGTGCTGTGATCACACAGGGATGAAGACTGCCGGAGAAGAGATGGCAGCACTGTCTTTCATGGGGTGCAAATATTGTTTCTTATGCACTTGTGATAACGCTGAATCAGCCATTAATAATGCATTTATGGATGTCACATATCTGACTTCAGATGACAACCATATCATGAATCATTTCTCAGGGCCTCTTCCTGCCAGGTTATTGATAATGTTCTCTCCTAATCGGATATTATAAGGGTCTTTATTATATCAATTTGCACCCCATGCACTGAAGAGTTATAGAAGAGGCTTCATAGGGTCCTTGTAATGAAGAAAGTCTTAAAGGAACTGACACTTAATATTCATTTGGTTTTTCATTTTTTTGGAGTCCCTGTCGAGCATGACATAGCGTCAAAAACTACAGCACCCAAATTAAACCTCTTCAAAGTCTTGCCTGTTCCTGGATGAAGTGCTTAAAAGTATGTTAAAAACTACTTTGGAAGTGAACGAGATGACATAGTTTTCAGATGCTTTTGTTTAATTGTCTCTCTGTGGTCAGTGAGGATCCAGGTTCACAGGAACAGGGTCAGCTTCTCTCTGTTCAGTCTCAACTACAGTAATTGATAGCGAACATGGTGGTTCTTTGTAGAATGAAAATGACTAGTCTGTGGACAGGATGGCTTTAAAAGGAGGGACAGGTGATCGTGGGTCTTCCACTCCATTCATTTGCAGTTCTGCATCCCAGTTAATCCTTATATCTTAAAACAGCAGCATGTTCAATAAAGTATGAATTGGTTGTTTCCAAACCTTGCACTGGCCCAAGTGTAATGGCTGGGCCAAGGCTGCTGCTGCCCCAGATATTGTCCAGGACTGTGGAGGGCTCTGCCTTGGTGCACTCAAGGCTCTGAGTGAGTGACAGTTCAAAGCTGGGTCAGCTGGAAGCCAGACTCTGAGGCGCAGAGAATTTAAGAAAAACAACAGTCACAGGGGAAGGGGGGGCATCACCATTCCTGTAAGCCCATTTACAACCAGTCTGTGCATCAGATCTGTGCACCTCTTGCTCACACACATCAGCCCAAAGTCCTGGCATGGAAAAGCAGATGCCTCCTCATTGCCTTTTCGCTATATGTTGAAAACGCCACCACTTGTTGTGTCAGAATTGCCCCAGGTTGTACCTGCCCTGGACAGTGCTCTCGTCCAGTGTGTTGAGTGGTGACCCTAACCTCTCGATTCCTCTTTCTCAGGGCCACAGCCACTCACCGAGGACAGATCATCTTCAAGGACGCCCTGGCCCAGCAGCTGTGTGAACAGGGAGGTAAGTGTGTCTCGCTGTAATTCGCAAATGTAAAGGGCTTGAACAGCATGGCAGGTCTGGGCTGCTGGATGTTGTCATACAGCACACTCGGAGAGATAATGTGGGACAGACAGGGGAGGGATGAGAGGAGTGAGAGGGGAAACTGAAGAAAAACAGTGGGGAAAAAGAGGGAAATAAGGAATAGAGAGGAGAGAGCAGGGAACTCTTCCATGCTGTGGTGTACTGGCTTAAGTGATAGAGAGAGGGCTGCAATGCACTGAATTATCTGTCCTGCAGAGCAGGCACTGAGAGAGACGAGGGGAACGGGGACAGAAAGACCCAGGAGTACACTAAGCAGAGGTCCTGCTGCTGACTCTCAGGATTGTTCTGCACAACCATTCACTGGGCTCAAGAAGTGACTGAGCAGAGATCTTGTGGCTTGTTCTCATGAGGGGTCTGTACAACCATTCACTGACCTGAAGAACAGACAGAGCAGGGATCTTGCAGCTTGTTCTTCACAGCCATTCACTGACCTGAAGAACAGACTGAGCAGGGATCTTGCAGCTTGTTCTTCACAACCATTGACTGACCTGAAGAACAGATTGAGCAGAGATCTTGCAGCTTGTTCTCATGAGGTGTCTGTACAGCCATTCACTGCGCTCAAGAACAGACTGAGCAGATCCACCAGTATGTTCTCAGGATTAGTACACACAACCACCCACTTACTTCAAGAGCAGACTGAGGAGAGATCCTCCAGCCTTTTGTGAGCACTGGTGCAAACAACCACTCACTGCACACTCGGAGGAGACAGGACAAGAAAATACACGCAAATGAGAGGAAAAAGACTGAAGAGGTTAAGTAACTCACTTAGGATAGAGAGAAGAATAGTAGAGGAGAGAGATGAGAGGATGAAAGGAGAGAGAGTGATGAAGGTAAGCAGAGAGGAGTGAAAGAGAGAAAGAATGAAAGGCAGGGAAAGCAAGAGACGGAGACTATGGAGATGGAAGTCAGACAGAAGAAGAGGAAAGTGAAGTGCTGTTATAAATCGTTCCCAGCAGCCCGGACTTGAGGTGTGTGGAGGGGGGATTGATTAATGAGAATACTTGAAGGTCGTAAATCGCAGGGTAGTGTCAGAGAAAGATCAAACATAGTGAGGAACGTCTGCAGAGAAAGAGAGAAGAGAGAGGGAAGCTGTCTTCGTTAGGGCCTAATTCCCAGCTGGAGAATAATTTGTCCCCTTTTTTGTCGGAGCGCAGTCAGGAAATTTAAATTACAAATGAGGCAGGAGTGTGCCGGGGGCATGAGAGATAGAGAGCACAGACCTCCTGAGTACCACGACTCTCCCCCTTTCTCTCCTCTGTCTTGTCCTTCCCTATCCCTGACTCTTTGCCCCGGTCTGCCTTTCACACGGATCAAAATTCCAAGGCTTTTAGGGAACGGAAAAAAAGCAAAGAAAGTTTTTCTTGAATGTTTGAATAAAATAGATTGACCCATCAGATATATACAGAACAGTACCCCGCTCCATCCCCACATACCTCCCACGTCTCATTCTGTGGCAGTCTGGCTGGGTCCTGATGACAGTCCCAGGTGGTTTGGCCTCAGGAGCAACACTGCAGTTCTCTGAAGGAAGGAGCGGTGACTACCTACCCACTACCTGTGTCTGCACTGAGAACATGCTGGCTTCACTCTGGCTTTAAACTGCAGCAGCGGTACTGCAGGCAGGACCTCAGTCCCGCTGCAGGGGGGACCACTGCTTCCTGTTCATCATGCCAGTTGACGTCAGTCCTTCTAATCAGTTGACTAGTTGGACTTTTGTCATTGTTTTCAGATCTATCAAAAGTCGCACGTTAATAGTGATCACCCTGCTTGATGAACTGGAGATCTGAAAGAACTAGAGACAGTTAGGAGTCTATATAAAGATTTGCAATATTAAGACAGCGCATCATTTGTTCAGTTAAGAATCCGGGTAAGCAATTGAGACCTCGGTTATAAGATAAGCCAAAAGACACAGAAAGTGGGAGGTCCTGTACTGTCCTCCACATTACTTTGTGGCTCTTTACCCGACCTGTGTTTATTCTTCACCTAGCCTGAGTGCACCATAAAACAGAAACCTGTTGTACAGTATGTGACATTTCCAAAACAGCTGAAATATGTGGAAGTATTTTCTATAGTTCTAATGCATACTGTATGCAATAGTCCGTTTTAAACAGACATTCATGTTAGTAACAGAGGGTGACCAGAGCTGTACTCAGACTATAAAGCTTCCTGCAAAACCGATTAGATTCAAAGCACCACAGAGGGAGACATCAAGCATGTGTCTTCTTTGGAGTTCTCAGGAAAACTGCCTTTTTCGTAACAAATTAACACTCCTTTTCAAACCTTCACTAAACTGCCTTGTAACTCTGCATCTGTGCACCTAGTCCAGCAATACTTAAACCAGAACACGTTCGTTCCCACGTCATCAGTCTATCATTTGATTGAAAAATGACGTGATAAGACATCTGTTTATCTATGTTGCAAATGTTTCATTCTGAAAGGTCCCGCAAAGCAATGAGCTGTGCTTCTGTAGGAGGTAAAGTATTGCAAAAGAGACTTTGTTAAAACTGGACCATTGACAAAGTACGGTAGAGCAATCACATTTCAATACCGGATTGTAATATGCTTCTGTAAAACAGTCATTCTAAAAACTGCCATTTTAAAAATGCTGTTAATATAGGGGCCTATTGCAGCATTACAATAGAATTGTTGTTTTACAGCAAGAAGGCTATACAAACAGTAGCAGAGTAATTGTTTCAATGCCATAAACTACATGATGCTAATAATCCGTAAAGAGGATTCATATTTTGTAGAAAATAAAAGAAGTTAATACCTTTAGATGAAGCTAAGCATCTCTAAGCAGTTTTCTAAACAAGGATAGAATACATAAGAACTGTGAGTGTCTTCAGTAAGGAGCGTTCTCAGGACTGATGAGTTACAGTGTATGGAAACAAATAAGCAGATTAAGGGGAAAGCTAAAGAGAGCAGCTGTGTTTGCAGCTCAGAACTGAACAAGGACAGAGTGTGGAAATCTGAGAGTGATTGGCAGAGGTGTCCAGAAACTGTAAATGAGTTAATCAGCCTACAGTATTTACTCCGAGCATCAGAGCCTGAGACACTGAGAGAGAGCAACACAGTGATAGGGGGATTGAGGGCAAGGATGACACTGGAAGGAGAGGGAGAAGGGAAGAGCTGGAGGAAGGAGGACATTGAAAGAGCAAGGAGGAGAGGGAGAAAGAAGGACATTTTAGAGGTACACTGCCACACACTACCACTGCCACACTGATCATACTCAGACATACTGACACACTGACCTCACTCAGACATACTGCCACACTGACCTCACTCAGACATACTGCCACACACACTCAGACATACTGCCACACACTACCACTGCCACACTGATCATACTCAGACATACTGCCACACACAACCGCTGCCACACTGACCACACTCAGACATACTGCCACACACACTTGCTGACACACAGACCTCACTCAGAAATACTGTCACACTGACCACACTCAGACATACTGTCACACTAACCATATTGTGTCACAATGACCACATACTGTCACACTGACCACACTTAGACATACTGTACATACTCACTGACCACACTAATCACACTCACTGACCACGTTCTGTCACACTGACCACACTCAGACATACTGACACACTGACCACACTCAGACATACTGACACACACACTCACTGTCACACTGACCACACTCAGACATACTGACACACACACTCACTGCTACACTGACCACAC